ACATCATGGCCTTTGTCCACTAAACACGGCTGCTTTCATGTCTCAAAAGCCAAAGAGAGCCACTCTGGCCACGGCCCTCCCTCAACTTCTTGTTAATAGTCTCATTCTCTCCCTACTCACATGCAATTTCAAATCCCTTTTTTCCACAAAGAGAATTTCAGAAACCTAGCTGTCATGAGTGGCTGAGCTCTCAAGAGGAAGTGAAAAGAAACGGAGAAGCACAGGAGTGGCTAAGAACAAAACACGGATGGCGTTCAAAGTTTAGCTCAGTGTAGATACCAAAGCTAATGAATTCCCAGGTAGAACATGTAGGGGGAAACAGCCTAAATCCAGTCTCTAATGACATCCAGACCTAGAAGTGCTTACCTTGTGTTCCCATAAAAGCAAACAGGGAACTGAATTTGAAAAACAAAATAAGGCCAGTAAATTCCTGAAAGGAGACAGTTCTTTTTCCTTGGAGACAAACCAAATTATGCACTGCCTCTCTCACCAGCAACATACTCTGGCTCAAACATTTTTAAAAGAAGCCTGCTGAACATCTGCTGGGCAATTAATGGCATGCAGCAGTGTGCTGGAATGGTCCCTAGGAAGGTATTAGCAATCCTGCTTAGGAGACATGAAATGTTGCAAACAGTGGTCCTTTTCCCTTTTTCTTTTTTCTTCTTTTTCAATTTTTATTTCCTCCTGCCTGCAGGGGGGATGAAAGGCAGGGAAAGGGAGTGAGGTAGACATTCTGCCTCAAATACTCTTCCTCACTGTTCTGCTCTTTCCCCCAGGGACCTTCGGCCTTCTCTTCCTAGCCACCCAAACAGGAGTGTGCTAATTTCAACTTAAAGAAAGTCTTGGCGGACACAATCTGCTACTCTGTTCGAACAGTTTACAACATCGAATGGCTAGGGCTAATTTAGGAGCAATCTCCAATGGGAAACTGATCCATCACACGTTTCACTTCCTCGTCACAGTCATTAAAGAGAGCACACCTTAACCTAAATCTTGCCTTTTGCAGTCAAAGTGAGGCCAAGAGTGATGTTGCACCAGTTCTAATGCAGTGATGGGGAACATGGTCACACTCAACACAGCAAGTCTCCAACTCCGTTATTCCATCAGCCCTTGACATCCTCTTCCTTTACTCTTCAAACTGGAGCTGATTATCTACATAGAAGTCTACATCTACTCCAGTCACTGGGCCAGTCATAATTGATCAATAATGCCACTTGATCAATGTCTGGAAGTCATCCTGTCAAAAGGCCCTACTCTCCAATCTAACAGAGAAGAACCCTGAATAAGCCACAGTGGTTGGAAGTCAAAGACTTCTTCACTCTCTTCCAACTACCTAGTCTAACATTGGGGTTTTGCCTTGAACTACATTTTTCTTTTTTTTTTTTTTTTAATTTTTTTTAACGTTTATTTATTTTTGAGACAGAGAGAGACAGAGCATGAACAGGGGAGGGGCAGAGAGAGAGGGAGACACAGAATCTGAAATAGGCTCCAGGCTCTGAGCTGTCAGCACAGAGCCCAATGCAGGGCTCGAACCCACGGACCGTGAGATCATGACCTGAGCCGAAGTTGGACGCTTAAGCCACCAAGCCACCCAGGTGCCCCGAGCTTCATTTTTATTTTATTCTCTTAGTAATCTTGCATCATATAGATCTATATTGCAGGAAGTTCTTCTTCAAATGTCAGTGTGCTTACCTGAGCACTGGTAACATACCTTCCTTTTGCCACCACTTCTTCCCAGAGATCCGCCCCCCAAATTCCCAGTGGTGGAACGAACTATAAACATTAATTGGATAAATTTTCCAGATCCTCCCAACTTTGCATTATTCCTTGCCTGCTGGAACTTACACTAGTGTAATTAACCCTCATGGTTATCAGGAATGGACTTTCTTTCCTATCTGCAACTATGAATCCCACATGGATGCTTTTGGATGCCTTTGCTATATAGGTTTCCCTTGGCCAAGATGTGGCCAAACCAGTTTCAGCTAATCGCCCATTTCTTTGATCCCTATTTTTCAGCCTGAACCCAGCTCTACCAGTTGTCATTACAGGAAAGCCTCCTCAGGTAACATTTAAAATAAGATTTCGAATTTAGCAAAATATTCTGAACCATCTCTGGAGTGTGATGTGATAATCAGTTAAATAAAAGTCAGGCACATAAAATAACTGCTAGAGTAGAAGCATGGGAGGAAGCAAAGGTGGAAAATGCAGGTGGCCTCCAGAGCTGAAGGAGTGGGGTTAGTTCTCTGCCTCATTTAACCGAGGACAGTCCTCTTACCAACAGAGGTCCCAGGTAAACAGTAAGGGAGGTTTTTTTTTCTAATAAATGAAGCTACTCCACAGAAAAATATGTTGCTTGAAGATAGTGTTTGTTTAGAATCTGAGTAGCTGTAAAGCAAATTTTGCACTATGGGGGATGGGCTAGTTGGCCACGTCCCTTCAAACCCAGAGTTCAGTGTGGAGTATGGCTCAGTTGTCTTTAACCTCTAAACCAAAAGGGAACAAGGAACTCTAGCTGTCATAGGAGAGGATGGTAAGGTTCAGTCTGCCACCTAAACAAGCTGGACTGTCTAATTAGATTGATTGGTTAATCTATTTATTTTTATTAAAAAAAATAATGTTTATGCATTTTGAGAGAGAGAGAGAGAGAGAGAGAGAGAGAGCACAAATGGGGGAGGGGCAGAGAGAGAAGGAGACACAGAATCTGAAGCAGGCTCCAGGCTCTGAGCTGTCAGCACAGAGTTCCATGAGGGGCTTGAACTCTCGAATCATGAGATCACGACCTGAGCTCAAGTCAGTAGCTTAACCGACTGAGTCACCCAGGTGCCCCAATTGGTAAATCTATTGAAAACAATTTGAAGTTGTTACGTTTCAGTCATTTGAAAAATGTGTCAATGGCGTGGCTACGATGCCACATGGGAATGAGTGCAACTGATATCCTTGTACTTTGTTTTCCAGTACAAGCAGCCATGTGTAACTGCCCTGTGTCACCACCATTCACCAAAGACCACAGGTCAACCTTTTGGGAGGAAACAGCTCATCTAGATTATCAAATGCCCTGGGATAAATTGGCAGCTTTCTTTCCTGCCTGAGGCTTAACAGTTGCTCTCACAGGTGTTACTTAATTGTTCTCGATGTTCTCACACTTTCTCATTTTCTTCATGGCATTTTCATGAGCAACACAACTCAAAAAGGGGTATTTGTTAATTTGTTCCTTGTGTGGCTTTCTCCAGTGATGGAAGCTTCATGAAGGCACAGACTCTGTCCTATGCTGAGGACATTGCTTGAATCAGAGTTGGAAGGTACTCGGTACACGCCTGTTCAAAGGATGAATTAGGATGACAAGCTGGAGAATAGAAAATCAGCCCTCCTCAATCCTTCTTGCTCTGAAGGGTCATCTGAAGTGATACTCTGACTCAGTTATGTCTCCATTCAATCACCTTGATGGCTTCCCAGAGCCCACCAAAGTAAGTACAAATGGCAGCCTGGCATATTTCCATACTCTACTTCCATATCTCATCCTCACAACAGTGACTTTTAAGTATTTTTTAAGGCAGTGGGATTTTTTTTTCTAAATAAAATAGTTCATGAAACCCTAATAAAGAATAAAAAAAAATAGAATCCAAGGAGAAAACAGGCCAGTGGCCAACCTCATTGGCCTTCCTCTAGACCTAGGCACACCTCCAGAATCTCCAGACAACCAGAGAAGGGAGGTGGAAGTTGCTGTTTTATGTCCCCACTTATTCAGCATCTCCCAAACCCTGGAGACTTTCATGATCCTTCCTTGGGGCTTTGGTGCTTGAAATGATCTCTGGAGGTCAATCCTTTCTATCCATCGAGGTTCTTCCCAAAGACTACTTTCTCCGTGAAGCCTTCCTGTATCATTCTGACTACACACAATTTCTTTCTGTTTTACATTTCCTATACAACTTTGATTGTTAACAATAAAAAAAATAGAAAGAGAAACAATGGCTTACTATTATTAGTGCCAGGCACTACTCTAAGTACGTTACCCGAATTAACTTAATCCTCACACAATCCCATGGACACAGGTAAGAGTGCCACCTCTAAGCCTCAGAGATGTTAAGTCTCTTCTCAAGGTCTATATGGCAAGGAAGTGAGGGAGCCAAGATTGCAACCTATGATCTGGCTGCAAATTTGCAAAAATCTAGTGCTTAAGTACACCAAGTCTCTATTTAAGCATTTATGCATTTTACTCATTAAGATACCCCGTTACTGCCCATTTCCCAACCCCACGGCACCATCATCATTGCTGCCACCAAATTTTGTCACACCTCAATCAGATTATATGTTTTTTGAGGACAAAGACCATTTCCTATTGGCCTTTGTATTCCATGGTATACCAGAACTATACTCTGTAAAAATACGTACTCAGTAAATATTAATTTATTATTAATGTAACACAAAAATATGTATTTATATACACTTGGAATTACCTGAATTATCACTGAGATTTCTATATAGACTTAGCAGGAGGATCCCCCAACCACCTTTTGCAGGTGAATAGACAGAAACTCAAGGATACTGAGATCATGCATGACCAACTTAGGGTTGATCTTGGCTATGGCCCTGTACAGCTCTTAAGTCCCGGTTATTTCTACTCACTATCCTAAAACTGAAAGAAAGAAAACTTTTGATAACGTAAATAACTGAAAATAAAGTTTTGCAACAAGATCAGAAAAAAGGTTATTTGTAAGGTTAACTTTATTTTTGAGACTCCTGCTGAGACAGAGCGTGTCATCATTTGAGGAGTGTGTATCCAGGTGATTCCCTGACAGTTTTTGCTGGTGCCTAAGTAGAAAAGTCACCTTACTCTTACAGGTCCTCATTAGGGCAAAAATGCCAGGCAAGGGAACCTCCAAAGACTGATGCCCTATTTCTTGTTAGCAGTGGTACCACCTCGTCTTGCTAAGATGAAAAGACAGACTGGGATCCCCCTTTGCTAGAGCCACTAGCGCAAAGCCAGGGACCTGTAAACTGACCTGCTGTTAAGTGAGCCGCATGGACAAGGATTTGGACCCCAGGCTTCAGCTCAAAGTGCACCGAGTTTTGATTGAGCTTGTGGATCAGCAGTTCTGATATCTGAAAGAAGAAGTGTCAAAATGAGTGCCACCAAAACTGTCATACCAACTACATGTTGAGAGATACTGTAGTTACCAAGGCATCCCATGAGTTATATAAATGAGTCTTGTATGATTTTGAATTTTTATTCCAGAATATGCAGACATAATGGTGTTTTAAGCATGACCGGAATTTACATCCAACAAAATAGGACAAATAGTAAATATAAAAATTTATGTTCTTAAAACATTATCCTATATTATCCTAGAAAAAGCCATGCCCAGTTTTTTGAAAGAGCATTTGTTATACATAAAAATTTAAGTGATTTTGTACAATTTACATATTCTGGTGAGGTTTGTATTCATTTATTTTACTTTTGATAGTAGACTCCATCTCATCTGTGCTCCCTTCTCCTTCCCCCAACTGTATACTGTGGCTTTCACAGAATACTTTATGAATATGTATTGAATGGTAAATATAGTTCTGCTTAAATAATAAAAGGCACAATCTAGGTAATGCATTGGCTGATCCTTGTTTCATGCTTATGGACATCAGCTAAACAACTCCCCAGGCTGACACAGGTGTACTGGGCAGACCTATGGAATTCTGGACCACAAAATATTTAACCCTAAAAAGAGGCAAAGGACCATGTTTCCAGTAGGAATAGCATAAGGACAGTTTTATAGACAAGGCAGCACTGTGCACTTGTTCAAAGTAGAAAACCCAGCTCAATTTTCTTCTTCTTTCCAACAATTTCTGAAAAGATATTAGGGAAAACCACACCTCTGTTATTTTTATCTGGACTCCTTGCCTTACTTTTAACATTCTAATCATCAATTTAATATTTTATTTAGTATGCTATTTAAGTCCAATTAGATGCTTTCTGACCCACCATTTTTTTTTCCCTTTTATATTTGTTGAGTTTTATGTAGTCCACCGATTTGCCAAAATGACACCTTTGATTGATTCCTTTTATCAATTAAGCAGGGGCTGATGGCTTTGTTTTGAAGCAGAGAGTTCCTGGCAGAAGCCCCTGATGGGTAATGGAACTGAACTGCCCTGCACATGAACTTCTTCGCTTAACAACGGGAACTTGGGAGGACTGTCAGTGACCCGCGGTTCAACACTTGGGATCCAGTGCAAGCTCAGCGTCTCAAATGCTTTCATTTGGCAAGCCATGCAGAAAAACAAGTCTGTGATACAATTATGGTGAAAACAACTTTATCCTCTATATTAGGCTACTCTTTTTCCTGGACACGAAGGATCTTCCAGAATGCTCCAGGTTTATAGGAACAGATTTTTAACACAGACTATATGTTTTTCCTCTGTGATTTCTAAAGTGTTGCAATGTATAGGTTCCTATCGTATCTTATAATTCCATTGGTAAGTTTGTTATGGGACTCTGACAGAGGATTTTTAGTAGAGGTCAATCAGAAAAGTTTTGGTTATGAAACAGACACACACAGACACAGAGAGAAATGTGTACAAATATGTGTGAAATATATGTGTTTATATACATATGCATGTATGTGCATATATGTGTATGTGTATATATATATATATATATATATATTTTTTTTTTACATTTGTAGTAAATTATTTTAACTCAAATAGGAAAGACTTGTCAGAAGTAATTGAAGAGCTGCCTTATTTTGCAGAGTCCATCTTGTGGCCAAAAGGGAAACATTTATTTGCAAGAGAAAGACTTCCCTCTTTCAACCAGTTGAAGTGATATTTATTTCTTATTCCCGAAGATGTTTTTTCCTCAAGTGAGAGATGCAAATAACTAAACCAGAAAATAGAGTTCATCAGAACAACAAATTTCTAATTTATAATCTCCAGGAGAGTTCCTTGTGAGATAATTAACTTCCAAGATTTGTTTTGGTTTATAACATTACTTCATTGGATTTATCTGTATCATTTACAAAATTAAGCAGGCTATGCCAAAATAATCTGGTAGCAGAAAGTAAGTTTCATGTAGTTAACTTGCATCAAAGGACATGCAATAAAGAACACATATCTGTGGGAAAGAAATTATGCACAGAAACAAAACTAAATGAAATGTACATTGCACACAAGAATAATCTCAATCATAACCATGCAATTCTCTATTCAAATAAATTAGTATGAAACTGTTGACAGATTTGGACAATATTTAAAATTTTTTAATTTTTTTTTTTTTCAACGTTTATTTATTTTTGGGACAGAGAGAGACAGAGCATGAACAGGCGAGGGGCAGAGAGAGAGAGGGAGACACAGAATTGGAAACAGGCTCCAGGCTCCGAGCCATCAGCCCAGAGCCCGACGCGGGGCTCGAACTCACGGACCGCGAGATCGTGACCTGGCTGAAGTCGGATGCTTAACCGACTGCGCCACCCAGGCGCCCCGACAATATTTAAAATTTTTTCATGCCGCTTGCACAATTATTTACCCTATATTTTTCATCAGATCCTAAGCTAAATACTTTTTATTTATATAATACACAGATACATAATATACCATACAATTCATATGCATGGAACACTTTATAGTGGCAGAGTTGTATATTTGTTACTATCTTTCTAACACAGCCTGCTGGTGTCTCCATGGAAAGGACCATGGATCTCACCGGACATACCTAAGTTTACCCAGTTAACAGTTGAAGAGTTGACACCTGAGTTTGGTTTTGTTTGACTCCTAATCCTGGGGCATTTTCATTAAAAATGTTTTCCTCGAACCAGGTGACAAAAAGAGAGAGCAAAAGATACCTGGAAAGAGGTCTGGCTGATCAGGTGTAGGAAATTAAAACAAAAAAAAACAAACCAAACTGTAGCATTTCAGTAATTATGCTGCCATCTCTTATTCATCTGTGAGGTGCACGGCTTGTGACAGCAGTCCCATGTCAGCTGACCAGTATAAGCTGCGCGGACAGGCAATTGCCAACCCTCTCCTCTGGTCTGCCACATCCTGTTCACCAGTTAATACAATTTGTAATGTTTGGAAGAGACTTCGGCTACAAAAGGAGTGGAATAAGCTGGAATCCATAGGGATTGGCATATCCATAGGGAATCCAGAGTGGCAGCAGCCTGAATGAGAAACACAAAACCTGGCATGATACAAACTAAGTGGAATAATGTGTGGCTGCTGGGACACTGAACCTGCTGAAGCCAGTTCCGTATATTTATTTTTCTCTTACTGTCCAAAGTGTGCTGTCTTAGCAAATTTCATGTATCCTTTGTGCTGTGATCCCTCTCCTGCTGCTCTCCTACACAGTCCATTTTCTATTCTCCCTCAGCTAAATAATCACGATCAAAGAAACAACATATTATTCTTGGTATCCGCCTCGTGGCGGACTACGCGTGTGATTCAAGTTTCACTTGAAGTACCAGCTAAAAACACAGTGGGGACGCGATAAAAATGCTGGGAAAGCTGCCATCCGAAGAGCATAGTGGGAGGGACCTGCTACAGAGAGAATGCCAATTCTCTTCCTTATCTTCTTCACAACATATAACATTAAGTATAGCAATCAGAATAGGCTAGGTTAGGCAGAGGGAACAGGGTTCGAATCTCAGAGGCTTCAAACAATGAAGGCATATTTCTGGCTTACATTTCCTACCCCTTGCAGGTAAGCAGTGGTGCTCATTATGGTTACATAGGGACACAGCCTGGTGGATGCTTCTACCCACAGCACTACAGGAGGGAAAAGAGCCCTCAAGGGTCTACAACTGGCATTTGAATACTTCAGCTTGGATGTGACACAAATCATTTCTGCTCCCAGCGCGTTGGCCAGAATGAGTCACACGGTTCTGCCCGCAGAAGAGACTCCAAGGTACAACCCTATCATGTATCCAGAAGGCAGGGAACTAGAAATATGTTTTTTAATGTTGATTTATCTATTTTGGAGAGAGTGAGGGCGGGGCAGAGAGAGAGAGGGAAAGAGTGACCTGCAAGCAGGCTCCGCGCTGTCGACACAGAGCATGACGCCAGGCTTGATCCCACAAACCATTAGATCATGACCTGAGCTGAAATCAAGAATCAGATACTTTAACCAACTGAGCCACCCAAGTGCCCTGAGCTGGAAATATTTAGTCTACAGCAGTGATGGTTACCACACAAAGAACACATTTAACATACAAACAATTTTAAATGAAACCAATAGGGGAAAACACACTCTCAGGTTGTAATGGAAGTGTCAAACACTGAAACACGAAAAAAGAGAAATTTAAGGACAGAGAAGTTGGTAAATCTATGAAACTTATAAGCCAAAGAAATGGTACAAGGTCAAACTACAGACGCAAAATGGTCGTTGGCAGATGTATCAATGATAAAGCTACACTGGGCCAAAATATTAATGTTTATCTCTGAAGTTGGCAGGAGGAATGCAAAGCCTACTGAACGTAGACAGCATTCTGGTGCCATGTTCAGTGATACTTGCCTGTATTGACCTTGGAGCTGACCCAAGTAGATCACTCCTGATCCTGTTACATTATTAAGGTCCTTTCAAACAGCAGTTGAAAAATCATCTTTTTGGAGTCAACAAAGAAGGATCTCTTTGAGGGATCCCTCAACAAAGAGGGAGACCTTTCCCACTTCACCCAGCATAATTTTTGGATTATATCATGGAGAGGGCAATGGAACCAAACACTAATTCTATCTAACACCAGCATACTCCATTCCCTTCCTTCTTAGCCCAAAAGAATCAGCTTGATTAAAGTGCCTGAGAAGTTTCCTGCGTGATATAATGAAGAAACATTGGTTATACATATTTCCTTCCCTTGTATTCCCCATCACCAGCTCTAAGTTTCTGTCTCCCTTTGCCATATTCCTTCTGGTCCAACTCTTACCTAATCAACTTTCAATTAGAGTTTCCTGCCTTAATGCTCTTCTTCGGAAACTCCAGAGTATCTCTATAATTCATCTCCCCATGTTAAAAAAATCTGGACAGGGCAGATTATGCAGGTAATAGTCTGAGATTATCAATTATATTTCATAATGAATCTTTCATTCCTTAAAATGCTGCTAGTAGACTGTTCCATTTCCAG